ATCTTGCTGGGCGGCAGATTCTTGGTTGGAGGTCCTTCTGTTTCAGTACATTAAATATATCCTGCCATTCCCTTCTGGCCTGAAGAGTTCTGCTGAGAAGTCTGCTGACAGCCTGATAGGATTTCCTTTATAAGTGATCTATTTTCTGTCTGGCTGCTTTCAACACTCTCTCCTTATCCTTGATCTTTGCCATTTTAATTATTATGTCTTGGTGTTGTCCTGCTGAGGTTCCTTTTGTTAGGGGATCTCTGTGCTTCCATGACCTGAGTGTCTATTTCCTTTCCCAAATTGGGAAGGTTTTCAAGAATTATTTCTATAAAGAGACTTTCTATCCCTTTGTCTTTCTCTTCTCCTTCTGGTACCCCTATTATGTGAATATTGTTTCATTTGGATTGGTCACATAACTCTCATCATTCTTTTAGTCCTAGAGATCCTTTTTTCTCTCTGGTCCTCAGCTTCTTTGTTTTCCTGTTGTCTAATTTCTGTTTCATTTACTGTTGCCTCTGCATTATCTAATCTACTTTTAAATCCCTCCATTGTATGTTTCATTTCAGATGCTGTGTTCTTCAGCTCTGAGTGGCTCTTCTTCAGGTTTTCTTTTTGTTGAAGTCCTCCCTGAGCTCTTGAGTATCTGTGAACATGCTTTTTACTTTTATTTTGAAATCTTTATCAAGAAGATTGGTGATCTCTGTTTCATTTAGCCCTCTTCCTGGAGTTCTGTCTTATAGTTTTGATTGGATCACATTCCTGTCTGCTCATTTGTTCAGGGATTCTGTCTTTCTTCCATTGTATTAGATATTTCTGCTGTGCTTTCTAGTCTAAGAGTTACAGCTTTATGAAGAAGGTGTGCTGTGGTGCCCAGAAGCTGAAGATTCTTTATTCTCTAGTGCCTGGTTCTATTTTGTGGGGACCCCAGTTGTTGGCATGCCGTGGGTGGGGTGCCTTTCTGGCTTCTGTAGTGGTCTCAGTCCGGGTGGGCAGTTTGCTTGAGCCGTTGCCTTCTGCTCAGCTCAGGAATCTCTGCTGAGCTTGCTGTGGGAGGGCCTCACTCTGCCTGGCCTGCAACAATGGCAGGGCTGCAGGGTTAATGGGGTGGGCAGGCCAGTGTGCCCCAGCTGGTCACATAGCACCAGCCCCAGCTGGTTTGGGCACCCACAGGGAGGAAGAAGCTCTTGGGGGTGGCTCCTCCAGGCACCCCTCTAGTTGGGCTGAGTTGGAGACAGGGAAACTGGGAGAGTGTCCGTCTGCCTCAGGCAGCAAAGTCAGGTGCTGCCTCTGGGCCAAGTGGGTTGGTTCCCAGCAGTGCACAGGGAGGTGCCTTGGGGCGGTGTTGCCAGCAAGGGGGATGGAGCATCTGGGGCTCCTGAGAGTTCCCGACCTGTTTGGCCGAGGAAGGGCTGGGGGGAGGATCTTTCTCCTGAGGAGAGAGCTCTGTCAGACCCTCACCCCTCGGGTCCCCTCCCACTGCTCGCAAGTGTTTCAGACCAACAGCTCTGCTTAGGGTCTCAGGACTGGTGGAGCGAGTGTGCCTGCCTTGCACACTGGCCGGGGGCTCCACCTCTCAGAGTGTTTCTGCCCTGGTGTCCAGCCCCACTAGTCACCAGACCCCAGTGCTCCCAGAGCAGAGCTCCAGGGCCAGGGGTGCAGCGCTCTTGGGCACCTACCTGCTCCCCGCCCCATTCCCCTTCCTCCCGCCTGTGGGCTGGTGCTGCAGGAGGGCTGGGGTCCCGTCTCCATGCTGCCGCCTTGCCCCTCCCTGAGTGGGCCTCCCTCCGCCTCAGGGGCAGGCGTCTCTGCCCTGTGGTCTTCAGGTTGTTGTCAGGTCTAGGTGCATTGCTGTATTTTCTTCTTTTATGTGTTTTTGGGAGGTTTCTGTCTTGCCTTCCTGTTCTGCCATCTTTAATCTGATCAGACCCATTTCCTCTTTCCTCTTTCCATTCTTCCTGTTTGCCATGGATGAGGACTTTGGGTGTGAGCACACAAGAGCTCCCAGTCTCCAGGGTGCTGCTTCTGGATGAAGATACAGCCGGGGTGGGGGAGGAGGGCGGGGTGGGGCCTGGGTGGAACCCCGGGAGCACAGAGCTGCAGTGCTTGCTCTGCCTCCTTGGGCACTGCAGGCAGGCTTGAACCAGTTGCATCACCAGCTGGGCCTGGGTTCCTCTCTCACAGCGAGATGACTGGCCCTCCTGCTATAGTGGGTACTTGTTGAGCCATTGGCCTTCAGGTGCTCCCCAAAGGGGCCCGGCAGGTGCCCAGTGCTCTGGAACAAGTAAGGGCAGCTGGTAGGAGAAGCAGGCATAGAGTCTCTTCCCATACCCACTTGGTTAACTCCTCCTGGTGCCAGATCCCCCCAGAACGTCCACCCAGTGGGCAGGGCCTCTTCTGTGTGTCCCTGGGCCCAGTCTCCCATGCCTGGCCTGCAGGAGGCCCTGCGGGAGTGCCTGGACGCAGCCCTGAAGGGGAGCTCACCCCACCAAGGGTGTCCGCACCGGGCCTCTCAGTACACCCCAGCTCCTCACGGCCCCACCCTCACAACCAGCTTCCTTCTCCGAGGCCTGTGTGGGTGCTCTGTATTGCTCTGGAGTTCACGCCCCTGCTTGTTCTTTTCCCCCTTTTCCCAAACACCGTCCTTTGCAGTACTCTTGTTTTCCTCCTCTGCTCCTCAGAGGCCCTCATAACATTGGCTTCAGGGGCCCACCGCCTCCCTCACAGTGCACAGTCTGCCTGTGTTGGTGCAGCCTGAGGCTGTGGGCACTTGATAGCTTGAGCTGCATGCTGTCACCCACCTTGCAGCTGCATCTCGCCCCCACATACTCCTGGTGAATTATCTTTGGGAATCCTCTCGTATCTGGGACTTGCATCCCAGCTCTAACCTTGGTGCTAGTGGCTCCTCCCCACAGGGGCATGGGTGCCCAGTGGCATTCCCAGATGGCCTTTCCAGAGCCATTAACGTCAGCACTGAGCAGTCCTGGGGGCCAACCACAGGGGCACGGCAGCCCACCCGCTTGGCCTCAGGGAAGAGAGGCCTGGCCAAATCCTGGGCTAGCTCTCCCTGTCTGGGTGGAATTCACGGGGTCAGGGACCTGCCCTTTGTCCACACCCTGGGGAAGTTTGAGAGAGCAGCCCCATCCTGACGTTAGGTGGTGGGGGCAGAACCTGGAGCAAGGGCTCAGGACTCTGCCTAGTAGTCTGTGCTGCTTTGTCACCCCGCTGCAGGAGCCTGACAGTCACTTCCCCTAGCCTCAGCTCTGGGAAGTGGTCGTTGGGGCATCTCTCTCCTAGGAATCTCTAGGAAGCTGGAGATTCCTTAGAGATTGCTTAGTGAAGTGCCTGGCCGAGGCTGCATGGGCACCGGCCTTTGCTGGGGGTCAGTAAAGTGGGTGGAGAGCCCTGTCTGCTAGAGCTGTGGGGAGTGATCCACAGCCAACACTTGGCGGCTCATGAAACTGGCAGCCCACGCTGCCCTCCCAAGCTGTTTGCAGTTTTGCAGTGAGGGCTGCCTTGCCTAAGTCCCCTGAGTTTTCGACTTGGTGTGTCAGGTGGGCAGTGAGTAGAACCTCTCCTCCCCCAGTGGCCGTGGTTGCAGCCCACATTGTGGACATGACTCAGCATTTGCAGATTTTGGACACTGACAGAGCTGGCCCTAGAAAGAAAAGCATTTCACTCAGAAAAGCACCTGCCCACAGTTTCTGTAATTGGCATTTGTTATCAGTTCAGCCAAGTGTTTTAGTTTATATTGGGTAATAAGACCTATCTTGTACATTTTAAAAGATTGAGTCCATTTCTTACTAAAAATGCCCATATACAATCTATTGTATAAATAGATCCTAATATGATCCTTCATAACAGTTTTTGGATTTCTATTAAAACTGCAGGAAAAAGAAACTGAAGATGAAACTTGATATTGTCCTTAGTAAACTCAACCATTTGGCCTAGACCAGGGGAGGACAAATTTTCTGTCAAGCCCTGATAGTAAGTAAGCATCTTAGGCTTTCCGGCCAGGCAGTCTCAGAGCAGGAAAGAGCCACGTATGATATGTCAACTAATGGCTGTGGCTGTGTGCCAATAGAGCTTTACCAGAAATAGGGCGAGCGTGGTGGTGAATATGCCAGCCCCCAGCTGATTGGTCTTCAGGGGTCTATAGCTCAACCGTTCACAAATTAGGACATTCAACTAAAAAGTAAGAACTGTCTGCAGTGTTAGGGGAAAGCTTGCCTTGCAGCTGGGGGAGCAGTTGGCTTTCCCCTTCAGGCCCCCTGTCCTTGCCCAGCACATAGTGTCAGTGGCCACCTCTTCCTGTTCTAGCATGTCAAAAGATGAGAATTTTTCCACTTCAAGTTCTTGGAGTAACTTTGAATCTTTACCTAACTGTTCTCCAAAGAAGTTTAACTCTGAAGGGACAGGTTTTGCCTTTATCATTATTATAAAAATTGTATGTGCTTGTGAGAAAAATCAAGCATTAGTAAAGTTAACAAGTATGAAGAGTGAACTTTGCTTTCCTCGGCTGTTTCCCAGCCATTACCCTCAGAGTTGAGCACTCACAAGGCTCTTATATTACGTATCTTTCTAGAAATTTCCTTTGCATATGCAAACAAATGTTTATCCTTTAAAAAAATGAGTTGGCATCCTGTTTATTCTACTGCTAGGGTTTGTTTTCTTTTTCCTGCAACAGTGTCAGATAGGTCTGTTCCTAGCAGGGACCCTGAAGACCCAGAGACCCAGAGCGAGCCAGAGCTTGCTCGTTTCTGGTAGCTGCTGGCTGTTTTGCTTGGATGCACCACGACCTATTCCCCGGCCCACGCTTAGGGCTAACAGTATGTGTCCAGGTCCCTTGGTGGGGTGGCTCTCATGTGCCTCCCTGGCCCTGCCCACATCCTGCAGAAAGCTGAGGTCTGCCTGTCTTCTCCCACCCTCTGGCTTTCTGGCACATTCACACAGATGTAAATCCTGAATAGGTACTTCTAGAACTATTCCTTGTAATTATTGTCCACACCCTGTAGATACCCACCTGGGACAAGTGTCCTGACCTGTCGATTGCTGGCCAGCGTGGAGCGTGGGAGGACCAGAGGAGAGCCCCTCATTGTGTAATGACACTCTCCAAGATGTGTTTTTTCATTTACAGTAAAGAACACCAGCTTGGCTGGGAGCTCCCCGGGGCTGTGACCTGGCAGCCATCAGCTGTTGGGGCTTTGCACACGCCAGTCCCTTTGCCCGAACCGCTGTTCCTTTCTGGGGTGTGTGTGAACATGTAGTCAGACCCCCCGCTGTTTGTGGTTGGCTGGATGCGTGCAGCATATTGGTACCGACCCTGGTGTCCACACCCCCTGGCTCTTCCCCACCTGCTGGGACCCACCCCTCGTCTTGGCCTTCTTTGTGTCTTCTGCCAGCTTCATGGGTGCTCAACTGTGACGACAAGGGTGCATGGTCTTTCTTCCAGAAAGTGTGAGCATCTCAAGTGCATGAGCCCCCTCCCCGGAGGACAGGGCCCCTGGCAGCTAGCACCTACTGGGGAACACAGGCTGAGCAGAAGGCCTGGCAATGTACCTGCAGCTCTGACCACCTCCTGTACTTGTGTCCTCAGTTCACAGGAAATGGGCCATGTGAAATGAACAGTGTCCAGAAGAGTGAGCACGAGAAGAGTCTGGAACACAGTAAAAAGCGCACTCGGCCCTCACTCCTCCGTCCCGTGTCTGCACCAGCCAAGGTAGCTGCCAGCCATGCATAGCCATCCACAGCCATCCACACGTGTGGGTGCCCAGCAGCTGGCCTTCTCTGTAGATGACCTGGGTGGCAGCCTACAGAGGCCCCAGCGTCAGGCCTGGGGCAGGCGGTTGAGTCTGGTCCCTGGTCTGGCTTGAAATTCATGGGCTGTGGGCCTTTGGGAAGTCAGCTCACCATCAAGGTGGTTGTCTACCCCCTTTCCCCGGCTCTCACACTCGTTGTGAGGAGGAGTGTTCCTTTCTCCTGGAGAGACAGGGCGTGCTGTTGAATCCACTCCTTTTTTCACCATCACGACTCTTTCCTAGGCAGGGATGCCCTGTACAGTTGTGCAGGTTGGGCAGTGCACATTGCCTGCTCAGGGGTGCCAGGCTGAGATCCAGCTCCAGTGGCATGCATCACCTGTGATGGTGATTTTCTATCTAGTTCCATCATTCCTCATGCATTTACTAGTTGGCTTTCTACTGTGAGGAAGAGCTTTCCCTTCATCCTTCATTTGGTTACCTGTATCGACATGGACTCAGGGTTGTGATCTGTGACGGTCCTTTTTTGTCTTCATGTCCAAACCATCTCAAATTTGGCCAGTGGGGCCCTTCAGGCTGGTTCCTGTGTACATGATTCTTGTGGCTCTTGGGAGATGGTTTCAGCTGTAGAGTAACATCCCACACATCTTGGGAGTCCCGTCAAGTTCCAGCCTAAAGCCAGTGTAGAGACAAAATCTTCACAGAGATTTAAAATGGGCTTCTCTAGGATCCCCCCAGTACTGTCTCCTTCCGGTCACATCCCACAGGACAAAACAAGCAGAGGGGGAAGTTTCTGAAACTGTGACCATGCACACTTCTCCCTTGATATCTCGACTTTCTGGTGCCCCTACCTGTTATTAAAAGCCTAAACTGCCTAGAGGTAGGCCCCAGGCTGTCGGTGGAGTGGTCTTGTGACCTGCATCCTTCACTTGGTCACAGAGGCTGAGTTGGGTGGTCTGAGTTCATCTGTGGGGGTCCTGGGCAGACTCAGCCAGTAGCTTGTGGCAGTTCCGGTTAAGAGAGCCCGGTATCGGCAATGCCATGACTCAAACAGGATTCTAACAAAGGTGAAAGGGGCTGTCTGTGGGGCGCATAGAGCATTCATCATGTGATTTCTCACCACAGAAGAAAATGAAACTCCGTGGTACCAAAGACCTGTCCATCGCTGCTGTGGGCAAGTACGGCGCCCTGCAGGAGTTCTCCTTCTTTGACAAGGTGGGCCATGGGGCTAGAGCCCTCTGGGCAGGGGTCAGCAGAGCAGGTGACGAGGGCAGGCCTCGGTTCCCAAACCGGGTCTGGGACACACAGCTGCCCCTCAGAAGCCACGTGGCCATGGTGCACCAGCGGCGCTCCTGGGGCCTCCCACCCAGGGTCACACCCTGAGGCAGCAACGTGGCCTTGTGTGCTAGCTGTTGAAGCTGCGAATCGCTGCATGGAGCATTGCCCTGCAGACCACAGCCAGTCATTAGTTCAGCTAGTCACTTAGCACTGCCTGAACTAATAAAAAGGCAGAGCAGAATGGGTCAGGCCTGGCCCCCAAAGGCCCCCAACCGGCTCCCCCTGTAGGTGCGCCGGCTGCTGCAGAGCCAGGAGGTCTACGAGAACTTCCTCCGCTGCATCGCGCTCTTCAACCAGGAGCTCGTGTCCGGCTCTGAGCTTCTCCAGCTTGTCAGCCCGTTCCTAGGGTGAGTGACCCTTTCTCAGGCCCCCCACATGGGTTGTGTTCCTATAAACTCCCTGCACCCCTCCTTTGGTTATCATTCTTAAAAAAATGATATGTGCTTTTTTCAATTTTTGTCTTTAAATTAAAATGGTCATGGGGAAGATTATAGATTCACCTGCAGTTATAAGAGAGAAACCAGAGAGAGTCTGGGATCTGTGCCTGCCCAGCAGTGTGTAGTCAGGATCCCAAGCAGGATGTCAGCTCACCCAGCCCACCAATCTATCCGGGTTTCCCCATATCCAGTGCAGGGAGAGAGAGAGAGAGAGAGAAAGTCAAGACACTGAGCCGCTTCAGAACCACATGATTCTTGTGTTGACCTTTAATGCCCACTCCCGTGTCCCTCCCTGCCCAGCCTCAGACCCTTGGCAACCACTAACCTGTGCTCTGTCTCTAAAACTTGCATGGCAGAGGTGCTCCAGAAACAAAGTCGTGCAGCACTGAACCCTGTGAGTTCCGGGCTTTCTTCACTCAGTGTGATTCCCTGGAGATTCAGTTGACATGTGCTTTTAAAAATCCTTCTGGAGGATCAGAAATGGCCGGGAGGGATGCAACTGCCGCCCAGAGAGAAACCCTGTCGGCATGTCAGCACCCCGCGTCCAGCAGGTCCTGCTGTGGTGTGTGGGCAGAGCAGCTGCCAGAAGGGTGGAGATGTTCTAGGGTAGAGAGTTACATGCCAAGCGTCCCTGGGAGGGAGTTCGGCGGCCGCCAGCATCACTCCCTGCCTGCCAGCCGCGTCACGTTGGGTGGCTTTCTTAGCCAGTCTGTGCCTGGGTTTCCCTGCTGTGCAGTGGATATTATAAAGGCACCCACGCAGAGTCGCGGAGAGCTCCAGGTGGGCTCTACCTGGAGGACTCTGAATGTAGTATCGTGGACAGGGTGATCACACATTGTACATGACTATATGCAGGATCTTATGTAACCCCAAAGACAACCCAGGGCCAGTGCTTACTTAACCCCTCCTATTAATTAAGAAAAAAATTTCAAACTTCTTTCTTCTAATGTAAAATAAAATGCAGATTCCAGAAACCACATGCCAGAAGAATGGCCAGATGCACCATTATTAGGCAAACCCCCTCGTGCCCACGGCCACAAGTGAACCTCCACCAGCCTGCAGAAAGCCCTTTGTGCATCCACCTGCTGCAGGTGACCTGCACTAGTTACTGAGGGGGCACCGATGCACAGCCCCGGCTGGCTTTGCTGTTTAGGATTCCTGATGGGTCTTGTCTCTGCTTCCCATCAAATGCCTCACTGCTCCTGTGTTGTGCCCCCACACCTTGGGTGGGCTTTGCCCCCACGTCTTCATGGCGCCACTCACCACGTCCATCAGACGGAAGGAAGTGGCATCCGCTGACTTGTTTCTGTGGCTGGTTTGTTCATTCATTCATGGGGGATGGAAGAAAACAAAGACCACAAGAGTATTCACCATTTTTGGGGGGCCAGGGGTGGATGCCAGATTTCTCTCTTCATCCTAGGGTCAGGCAGTGAACTGTGTTCCTATCTCAACAGGACCAGCTGGGGACCAAAATAGGAAGGGGATCCATTTGCTTCCCCCCCCCCGCACTTTTTTGTTTTTAAGCATCCTATAAACTTACAGACTTAGACATATTTGATGTGGTTCAGTACATTTTAAAGATGAGGAAGCCCAGGCCCAGAGAGCAGACCTCTTGCTTTCTCTGAGACAAGCTCTTGAGAGATCTCTGCATGGTGACGGCTGGGCCCTTCGCTCACTCTACGTTCTCCGGACACTAGTGTGGCTGTTGAGTCACAGCAGCGGCCTCACACTGTCAGGCTGGCCTGCAGCATCCTTTCTTTTTTAACTCTGCATTTCTTAGACCTCAGGATCCTTTTTAGCAAGTATGTAGTATTCCCATACTTTGTGTGTATCGTGGTTTTCTTAGCAGGAACTGGAATGGTGGCCTCTTGCCTCCACTTCTCCCTATGATCAGTGCTGAGGTCGTGCTCTTGGCCTGGGATACTCAGAGGCTGAGTTAATAAGGTCATCGCCCTGAGAGAGCACACACATCAGGGTGACCTTTCACTTGGGTTAACTTTCTCAGGAGGCAAAAGATGTGTTACTACTCTGAAGAACCACCCCGAGCGGGATGGCAGTGTCACATAGTCACAGCCAAAGCACAGCTGGCTTTTTCGCATGGACTTGGGATGTGCCCACGTGGAGTGCGTCGGCAGAGCTCAGGGTCCCGTGCCCGGAGCCTGGTGCCTGGCTGAGGAAAGGGTGCCCTAGTTGGGAAGGTGAACTGCTGTGACCAGGGAGGGTCCTATGGAGCCGGCCTGCAGCATGTGAACCCTAGCGGGGTGCACGACCAGCCGTGTCCGAGTCAGTAGTCTGCTTCCTGCCAGCAAAGCTGAAGTTCCTTGGTTTGTAAGATGTCCATCCTCCTTCCTGGGTTGTCAGGAGGATGTGGGAGAAGCATAAAGGAACACAGAATGCTAGGTGCTGAGCAGGCACAGGTGGCCATTTTCCTTTAGCACGTGGGCAGCAGTGAGAGTTTCATAGGGCAGCGTGCACTGGAAAGTCCAGCATTTCTGCAGCAAAGGGCAGAAGTGCAGCGGACCTCTACTCTCATCTCCACATTATGTCCTAGCGTTCACTTCTTGAGGCCTCATTTTGCAATTGTAAGCTTCAGTCTGGGTTGTCCACCCAGGGGCTGCTGATCTCGGCAGCCCAGAGAGCTGCCACCTGGTAACAGAATTGGTCGGCATTGGGCTGGAGTTGGGTGTGTCATGGTTAACCATCCTCTGCAGTGTTCTCGTGATGTGCTTTTATCCCTGCTGTGACCTCAGGCATCCCCTGTACTGATTTTGTTGACATTTTCCATCCTGCTCTTCTGTTTGTGGTTTTCCTTGTGAAGCGAGTTGGCACAGAATGCTCGCATGTGGGGCACAGCCTGTTAGCAAGGCCAGGGTATGACTGCTCAGCTCTGGGTTTGCTGTGTTCCAGAGCAGCCATAGGCCATACAAAGTGAATGGACGTGACTGTGTGCCAGTAAAACTTTATTTACAAAGATCGATGTAGGCAAGTTGTCCATAGTTTGCCAATCCCTGGCCTGATGCCCAGCCTTCTTAATCAAGGAGCATCACAGACCCTAGTTGCTGCCAGTCCGGGGTATCCTCCTGAGTGTTCCAAGGCCTGGTTGGTGATGGAGGTGCAGGGTGGGGCTGGGATTCACTCACACACTGGAGGGCTTGAGGCATGTCTGACCACGTTCCGCTTCTCGCCTCTCCTCCCAGATGTTGAATTCTGACTATCTCTAACTGCCATTGTCTGTGAAGCCATTCTAAAATCCCTGGACCACTCTCAGAAAGCCCCAGGGATGCTGACTTACTGTTTGTTTCTATTTCTGAAGGAAATTTCCAGAACTCTTTGCACAATTCAAGTCCTTCCTGGGTGTGAAAGAGCTGTCATTCGCCCCACCCATGAGCGACAGGTCTGGGGATGGAATAAGCCGGGAAATTGACTACGCATCTTGCAAGCGCATTGGATCCAGCTACCGGGCACTCCCTAAAACCTACCAGCAGCCCAAGTGCAGTGGGCGGACTGCCATCTGCAAGGAGGTAGCACTTCCCATGGGTTCATGTCGGCCTATGCAATGCATGCTCCCTGCCTGCCCCGTAAAAACACCTGTTACCCTTGTATTTTGGATAAAAGACTGAGTGTTGATCCCCCAAATACTGAATAATGGATTGTGCCGGGACATAGAGAAACAGAATGCCTGAGCAGAAGTGATGGTTTCTTACCCAATTGGTAGTCTTGGCAAGTTGCAGGCACATGGCACTGGTGTAGGGCTCGGCATATGTCGCCATCATTTACAGTTAGCTTGATTTCTGCCATGAGCCTGGGCTGCCCCAGATTCACTGCCTGTGTGTGTTTCCATTTAGCTTGACCGTTGAGCACTTTTTCAGGGTTAACAGACAAGCTGTTAATGCATTTCCAGAGTTCAACAGCGGCTGCTGGGTTTTAGAGTATAGCACAGAGGTCAGCAGACTACAGCCCAGGGGCAGATCTGGCTCACCCCCTGTGTTTGTAAGTAAAGTTCTATTGGCCCACAGTCATGCCTGTTCATTGACACACAGCCTGTGGCTGCTGAACAAGGCCAAAGGCAGAGTAGTCCCGACGGACCTTTGGCCCACAAAACCTAAAATAAATGATCATCTGGCCTTTTACAGAGAAAACTTGCCAACCCCTGAAATAGAATGATTTGTTCACTTTACCGAAGTTTTATGTTCTCTGGAAACCACTTTAATTTTACTCTCTGTATGGTAAGGCAATTTCTTGTAGAATTGGGACTGTATTGTCTTCTCCTCTGTGCTGGACAGCACGTGAACGGCTCTGGCCACTGGGGCCTGCCACACCGGTCTCAGCGTCCCCCTTGGTGCAGGTGCTGAACGATACCTGGGTCTCCTTCCCGTCCTGGTCGGAGGATTCCACCTTCGTCAGTTCCAAGAAGACGCCCTACGAGGAGCAGCTGCACCGCTGTGAGGACGAGCGTTTTGAGGTGCGTATGTTGCCTTCACAGGGCCCTTCTTGGCTGGGCCTGGGTCCTGGTCGGGAGAGGGGAGGCCCAGTGTGTGCACCTGTCCCCATTCTCCTAGCTTCTCTCCTGCTTGTCTCCTCTCCGCTCTGGGACAGATCCTGATCCTCCATAACCGCTCCTTCTCTGGATGGCCCATCCCCCAAAAGGAGATACTCAGTCTCCTTTTGAAAGTTCCAGAACCCCCTTTCTTCTGCCTCGGTGGCCTCTGGTGGCTAGGTGATGGTATTGTCTTTGTTTTTAAAAGATATACATTTAAATTTAGTTAATTAAAATAACAATTTCTTTATTTAACTTTTTACTGAGATCATTGCAGACTTACATGTGGTGTAAGAAATAACATGGGGTTATCCCAGGTCCCTTTCTCCAGTGGTAACAGCTTGTAAAATCTATGGCATGAAGACATAGCCAGGATGTTGACGCTGACTTAGCCCACGATCTTACGTCTCCCCAGCTGGACTTGTACCAGTGTGTGTGTGCCTAAGTGGTGAGTGTGTGTTGTATTATGCACGTGTGCGTGTGTGTTTAGCTCTGCACAGTTCTCACTGGTGAAGGTTTGTACCCTCTGGCTGTAGCCACTAGTTTCCTTCCCCCACCACCGGGATCCCTCATGCTGCCCTCATGCCCCACCCCATCCCTAACCCCTGGCAACCGCGGCCGCCACCATCTCTGTCACTTTGTTGTAAGTGGAATCACACAGTGTGTAGTCTTTGGGGACTGGCACTCCATCAGCTTGTGCCCCTGCGGAGTCATCCAAGGGTGTGTAGACCACAAGTCCCTCGTTATTACTCCCAGGTGTAAAGCGCCTTTGATGCCCATGAAGGGGGCCCTGCGGGCTGTTGACCTCCGCAGGTGGGTCCACAGGTGTTCTGGCTACTGAGCACTCACATGGTGTCAGGACCCATGAGTCTCAGTCCTGGGAGCTCTGAGTCCTGCGTCTGTGCCTCCAAGTGCTGGGGTTGGACCCAGCCCTGGAATAGCCATACTGGCTCTGAGTCCCAGGACCCTCATCAGGCTGCCGTTTCCTGATGTCCATCACCCCCTCAGAGATGTGGGACTTACTGTCAGCTCTGTCTGGGTGCCCCTTCCACCAGCCCAGGCCTGTTCCTGGGCCCCCGCTGACTCCACCATGGCCGACCCCTTCCTGCCTTCCTTTTCATAGTTAGATGTTGTCCTGGAGACCAACCTGGCCACGATCCGTGTGTTGGAAAGCGTACAGAAGAAGCTCTCCCGGATGGCACCCGAAGACCAGGAGAAGTTCCGGCTGGATGACTGCCTGGGGGGCACATCAGAGGTGATCCAGCGCCGTGCCATCCACCGCATTTATGGCGACAAGGCCCCGGAGATCATTGAGAGCCTCAAGAGAAACCCCATCACCGCTGTCCCCGTGGTCCTGAAGAGGTGCGCTGTGGGTTCCGGCTACCCCACCTGGCTCTCAGTAGTGCTGTTGGTCACAGGTGTAGTTGTGAGGGGTTCCCTGGGGCCCCTCGCTGGTCTGCCATGCTTTCCAGTCTTCATCTCCCTGTCCACTCCCCGGAGGAGAGCAGAATGTTGTCTGTGTCCTTCCAGAACATTCTGCCATGCACGCCATCATATGTACACATAAAAAGTAGCTGTTTCACAAATGGGACCGTCCTATACCACCGCTTGCTTTTTATCAGTAACACGTTTGGGGAGCCTTTCCACGCTAGTGAGCTGGTGGTGGTGAAGTGGGGGCCCTGGAGTTTGGGGCCCAGCCCCTTCCAGGGCTCAAAGCTGAGCCAGGGAGCCCCGTGGTGAAACCAGGAGCTACACCGAGTGCTCAGCACCGTAGGCCAGGACAGGGATGGCGTTCTGGGGCAGTGGAGTTTGAGAGACCATAGCACTGGCCTGGGGATTGTGTGAGGCTGTTGGCCCCCGCCCTCCCTCATCCACCTGCGCTAGGAGCTGGCTGCCCTGAGCGTAGAACACGCTTGGCTGGTCCTGCGCCGGGATGCTGCGGGCAGGGGGGCGCCTGGGCTGTGCCTGTGCTGAGCCCCCTTGGCCCCTGTAGGCTGAAGGCCAAGGAGGAGGAGTGGCGGGAGGCCCAGCAGGGCTTCAACAAGGTCTGGCGGGAGCAGTACGAGAAGGCCTACCTCAAGTCTCTGGACCATCAGGCCGTGAACTTCAAGCAGAACGACACCAAGGCCCTTCGCTCCAAGAGTTTGCTCAACGAGATCGAGAGCGTCTATGACGAGGTGAGGGTCAGGGGGCCGGACCTCTGCCTCTGCCCAGCAGCGCCTGTGGAGGGGTGAGGATGGATGTTTCTGGGCAGGCTGGAAGAGGATGGCAGCCCCTCTGCCCTTGTCAGCCAAGGACTGTCCTTCCGCATCCCTCCCTGCTTATCCCCGGGACCTTGAGCACCATTCAAACCCCCAGAGGGAATATCCCTACTAATCCTGCCCCACAGACCTTACTGTGTGGTGCCATTATCATCCTGATTTTAGTGGTGAGGGAATCAGAGGCATGCGAGGTGGCCCCTTGCCAAGATGGGTCACAGGAGACCAGGGCTCACCTCTCAGCCAGCTTTGGCATGTTGAGGTTCAGGGCTGGGCTCTCAGGCTTCGGGGATTTGAGCCTTTGAAAATGGTGCAGGGAGTGAGTTACATGCAGGTGCCTGCCGTGGGCAGCCCTTCTCCCCCAGGCTGCCACTGCCACTGCTGGGCCCACCCCGCATCTGGTCCTGCCCCCTCACTTTAATTCTCAGGTGGGTCCTCGAGGCAGGAGACACCACCTGCCCATGGGCTCTGTGGTACGTCCTCAGAATGACAGTTAAAAGTGTGGCTGTGAAATTTACTGTGGTCATTCCCAGCAGAGTTCCTCGGCTCTATCCCTGGGGGGTGAGGGGGAAGGGACGCACACTCAGTTCAGGACAGGAGGTGGGCCCACTGGCCTGGCTGTTCAACATGTGCAGGCCCTTTGTGCACAGGAAAGTGAGATCCCTGTTCCGTTGTGAATTAGCAGAGCATAGTTCTGTGTTATGAACATCCAAAAAAGGACTGAGAAAGGGTTTTGAGGGTGTTGGCATAAATGAGACAGGGCTGTGGAAGCAGGTCTTGCTAACAGGTCAGTGCGTGCTTGCAGACCACCTGGAGGTCCCCACCAGCAAGGAGGAGATATCTTGGTGGCTGCAGGATTCACAGTTAATAGGGGAGCACAGCCTTTGATGGGATGAGATGCGTGCGCGCCCTGGGAAACTGAGGCCCTGTGGGACAGCAGAGGAGAGCCCGCTTCCCTGTAGTCATTGATCCTGCGGGTGCTGGAGGAGCCCTGTCAGTGCCGCACCTGGGCTGGTCACCCAAAGGCCGAGGGATGCCCAGCCTTGCCCTTGGGAGCTCCCTCCTCTGCAGGGACGGGGACCCTCACTTTTCCTAAGAGCTTGAGTGCGTCAGGCCTCTACCTGGTGCTCAGGATTGGTGCCACCCAGGAGAGAGCAGGACGGCGGGTGGGGGGAGGGCTAATGCCCTTGGGCAGCTGGAGGTGGTCCAGAGGAAGTGTGATTGTCTTCAGGATTGTAAGGAGAAAAGTCAGGAACTGGATAAAGACCGGGGGGATGAGTGGAACCCAGGGCGGCGGTCTCCCAGGCAGGAGAGCAAACGGGAGCAGGCAGAGGCCCGGCACACAGCAGAGGGGCCAGTGCCGAGGTCCACTGGAGGTGGGTGCGGCAGGAGGTGCTGCAGGGTAGGGTGCCGGGCCGGGGTCCCCTCCCATGCAGTGTGGGGCAGCCAGGAAGGTGCGGTGGGCTGACTGCCCCTGGCCAAGGGGCTGGTGGCAGGTGGGGAGCCGCAGGGGTAGGGGGTGTTGGAGGTCAGGGCGGACCATGTGAGAAGGGCCGAGGGAGAGGAGGGGCTCACATTTAGGCAGTGGGAAGACTGAGTCCAGTTGAGTGACTGAACATTGAGTGACTGAATATTGGTGGGTGGGGAGGCCCATGGCCCACCAGGGCCCTCCCCACCCCCAGGGGAGCCTGGTCGGCCGGCCCCTGGTAACAGGGGTGCTTCCCCCTCATTTGTGCTGGCCTGTAGGCGGGGGGAGGATGGCCCCGGTCAGGCCCAGGTCCGACCAAAGTGCAGTGCCTGTGGTGCCTGGCTGGCGTGTCTTGGCGGGTCGCCTCCTGCCTGACAGCCTCCCCATCCCCCCAGCACCAGGAGCAGCACTCGGAGGGCCGGAGTGCTCCCTCCAGTGAGCCGCACCTCATCTTCGTGTACGAGGACAGGCAGGTCCTGGAGGACGCGGCCACGCTCATCAGCTACTACGTGAAGCGGCAGCCCGCCATCCAGAAGGAAGACCAGGGCACCATCCACCAGCTGCTGCACCAGTTCGTGCCCAGCCTCTTCTTCTCTCAGCAGCTGGACCTGGGGGCATCCGAGGACTCAGCCGACGAGGGTCGGGGCAGCCCCCCGGGCCAGGGAGCAGACCCTGGCGACCGGAAGAAGCTGGTGCCTGCGCCGCAGGGTACCCCCCCAGAGGAGAAGGGGGCCACGGGTGAGGTGCCCGTGGCCGAGCAGCCGCCACAGCCGCACAAGCCCCTGGATGATGTCTATAGCCTCTTCTTTGCCAACAATAACTGGTACTTCTTCCTGCGGCTCCACCAGACCCTGTGCTCCAGGCTCCTGAAGATCTACCGCCAGGCACAGAAGCAGCTGCTGGAGCGCCGGACTGAGACAGAGCGAGAGAAGCTGCTGTGTGAGGGCCGCCGGGAGAAGGGCGGCGGCCCGGCCATGGAGCTGCGGCTCCGGCAGCCCAGTGAGCCCGGGCCCAGGGCTGGGCGGCTGACGGGAAGTGCTGGGCGGGCGGTCACTCCCCACGGAGGCTCCTGAGGCCTGGCCCCGGTGACCGTGGTCCCCGCCACCCGCAGGTGAGGTGGAGCTGGAGGAATACTACCCGGCCTTCCTGGACATGGTGCGGAGCCTGCTGGAGGGCAGCATCGACCCCACGCAGTACGAGGACGCTCTGCGGGAGATGTTCACCATCCACGCTTATGTGGGCTTCACCATGGATAAGCTGGTGCAGAGCATCGCCAGGCAGGTGAGCCGTGCACCGGCCCCTCCCTGCACCCCCACTGGCCACAGGCCCTGAAGACTGCCCCTCCTTTCCTTCACTCCCATGCCATATGGTTGGCCTGCGGTTGGCTTTTTTTTTAGCTATGTCACAATTCAGTAGCATTTAGCACATTCTTAAGGTTGTGCAAACACCACCTCTGTCTAGTTCCAGGGCATTCCATCCACCTGCAGGAGACCCCATCCCCATGAGTAGTCACTCCCCCTCCCCCTCCCCCAGCCCTGGCAGCTACTGATCTTTCTGTCTCTGGATCTGCTTGTTTTGGACTTTTTCCTTAAAATCACACACTACAAGGACCTTCAGGTCTGGCTTCTCTCACTCAGCATGATGGTTGGGGGTTCGCTCGTGTGTGGCCGGTCAGGACCCCACTCCTTTTCATGGCTGAGTAATAGTCTGCCATCAGGATAGATCACACCGTGGGTATCTGCCCACCTGTGGGTGGACACCCTGGGTTACTGACACCTTTTGGTGACTGACTGGTGCTTATACAATCAGCCATTCAAGGGCTTGTTT